TGATTTTTTTATTATTTTACTTTTAAATATTAATAATATTCCTCTTTACTCATTCTTATTGTAAATACTAATTCCTCCGGTTCAATTTCTTAAGTTTTTTATTAGATTTGAATTTATCTAATAAATAAAAAAATATAAATAAATAGATAGTCTTATATATAAAAAAACGGTTATTTTAAAATAGATTTTAAAGCAGTTTGTTTGCTAATAGGAGATTTACTTTAATTTTTTTGAATTTTTTAAATATTTAATTATAAATCCTTATCAATATATTTAGATTAATTTTAATTATTTTTTAAAACTTATCTTTATTATTTTAAAGGTGTTTTTTAAATTTATTAACTTTATTTTTATTTATTATTTAATAATCTTTGTATATTTTTTTAACTTTTGTCTTCCATTTTATCAATTTATTAACTTAATTTTTTTATTTTAATATTTAGTCTTCTTAATATATTTCTTACATAGTTTATTATTTCTATTATTATTAAATTTAATTATTATTAATTTAAAAACTGCTTTTATTAAAGATAGAATGAGATTATAAATTATTTTTCCTAAAAGACTATAAGCTTTCTTTTTTAAATTATTTTTTAAATTCTTCATTTTTTATAGTTTATTAATAATCAATGTTTTTTTTATTTTTTAGACTTAATTTTATTTATATTGGAAATCCTCATTATTATTTATAATATTATTATCATTAAAATTTATTTCATTCGTATTCACTTCGTTTTTTGATAAACGTTTTTGTTTGTCTTGTGATTTATTTTCTTATTTTTATTAAGGTTATTATTGTGTATTTTCTATATTTTTATTTTTTTAAAAAAAAATATGTTTTATAAATTTATACATATTTTTTATTATTCATTATTTTATTCTTCATTTTAAAATTTCCCATTTTCTTTTTAAACTTTTATTTTTTTTAAAAAAAAATACTAAATTAGTATTTTCTTACTTTCTTCTTCAAAAATCTTATTTTTATCGCCTGCTAAATCTAATTAAATTTCCCTATTTACATCGATTTTAGGACTTAGTAATTTCCTTAAACGTAATTTTTGTTTTTCTAAATATCCGATTCTATAGTCATGGTAATTTAAATCATAAAACTATTCGAATTCCTCAATTCTATTTTTTATCTTTATTATGATTAATATTTAAAATTAGAATTTAATATAATATAATACATTTGCTTATAATAAAATTAAATTTCTATATGCAATTTTATCATTTGAGTTTTAAACTTATTCTATCAATTCTATTTACAACAAAAAATATATATATATATATATATATATATATATATATATATATAAATAAATAGAAAAATACTCTAATACTATTAAGAAATCTAATCAACTTCTTAGGCTATAGAAGGTAATAAATCTAATTTTAATTTTAGCCAAATCATAAAAGTATCTTTTTTTTTTTTAATTTTAAATGTCAATTTCAATATTATTTGATTTAATAAACGATTATATTTAATTAAAATATTATTTTAATGTATAAATAAAAGTATATATATATATATATATATATATATATATATATATATAATATTTATATGTATTATTCAACTCATATTTTATTATTGTATTTAATATTATTATTTTTTCCAATCATTTTAAATCATATTTTAATTTTTAAAATAATTTTAAATTTCTTCATTAGGTAAAGAATATTCAGATTAGCTTACTGCATCTAAAAATAATATAAATAAATAAATAAGTATATAATTTTTTTATTATTAAAAATATACCCCTTGAATATTCCTGGTTTCTATTATAACATTTTTTATTCTCTTTATTTATATCATAAAAATTGCTACTTTTATTATGCGTATTTTATTCTTCAAATTCACTAATATTAACTCCATTTTTAAAATTTCCAGTTTGATTTTTTTATTGACTTTAAAATTGTTAATAACTATTCATTAACTACTATTACTGTTACTATTACTACTATTATTATAATTAAAATAGTTGCTATTAACTAAAATTCTACCTAAAAGTCCTCTATGGATTATACCAAGAAGAAAACTGGCTAGAATTTTTAAGTCTATTTTTATAATTTTACTCATATAAATTATTTTGACTATTTTATTCATCATCCTCATCAAAAAGCTACATTAAAGGAGAAGATAGGAAACTATTAGCAATATCTAAAATATTTTTTGATTTCTAAACAGACTAGTTATATTATTATTATTATTATTAAATTTCATCGTTTTGTTATTTTTCTTCATTTTTTTAATTTTAATAGAATTTCTGTTTTTGACTTTTTAAATAAATAACTCCCTATTCATTCACAATTTCATCTTCTTTGTTTTTTTAAAATGTTTATTATTAAAAAGCATCTTCTTCCTCTTAATAATTTTCCTCATTTTCATCGTATTTTTAACTAGCATTTTACCTAAATTTTTCTTTACACTATTAAATACTATCTTTTATTTTACTTGGTACAAGTTTTAGATATTCAGGTAAATTCGGTCTTTCTTATAAATTCTTTTTTTTACTTGAGAATTCCTTCTTTTTTTTTTTATTATCTTATTACTTATATTAAGAATTTATTGTTTAGTTTTATTAATTTAATTTATAATTTTTCATTTATTAATATTATTCATCTCCTCTTCTGTAAAATTACTATTCACTTTATTAAGTTTAATGTAAACATTATTTAACTGCTTCATCATTTAAATGTGGTTTTATAGGAGATTTTATATTTTTTAAATATATATTTGGTGGAGGAGGGCTTTAAGTAATCTATTTTTTTTAAAAAAATAAATAAAACTTTAAATAATATATTTTACTTTTGGAGTTATTTAGCTTTTTTTAGTTTTTTTTAAATCTTCCTCTTTATTCATATTCTTATTCCTATTCTTATTCATATAATTATTATTATTATTAAATATTGTTCTTTTAATAAGGACTTTATTATTAAGGACTATGGTTTTTAATATTTAGATTTAAATTATTATTTATTTTTTCGTTTAAAAGTAGTATTTATTGTTTAACATCTTCAATTTCGTTTTAGAGTTTCTTTTTTTGATCTTATTCTATTTTATTATTGTTTTTTAAACTTTTTAAATTTTATTGTATTATTTTCTTATTTTTTCCTTGTCTTTAAATTTGTAATAAATGCGAATATTATTTTTCTACATTTTCTAAATAAAATATATATTAAATTTATTTCTTAAATGTTATTTATTTTACCTGCCATTTAATTTAATTTTTTAAATGCTTTTTCTGGTTTATTATCTTCTAAAAGTCTATATGCTACTCCTATTCCTAATAACATTAAATTTTAAGCAAATGCTAAGGCTTTTTGTGCACTAAACCCTTCAAAAAAATGTTTTATTAAAGAATTTGACATAAGATCAAATTATAATTAATATTCAGATTAATCCATTTAAATAATAAATAATAAGAAAAAAATAAAAAATAAAATATATATATATATAAATAATAAATAAATATTATTTTTTGAATAAAATATTTAATTTAAAATTTTTATAATAAAAATTAAGAAACAAAATATTATTTTTTTAAAAATGCTGTTATTTTTTTTTATTTTTTTATAAAATAAATTGATATTAACAAAAATATATTAAATTATATGTACAAGTATTAAAAAATAATTAAAATTCAAACATTATTTTTAATTAAAATATTATTTTTCCATTATCCTAATACCGGATTTTCAAAAATTAACTATAAAAGACTCCTTCTCCATCAATCTAATTATCATTAAATTATCCTATATATTTTTCATTATTACTTAATAATAGTGTCCCTTTTCCATTTTGTTTTCCATTCAAAAACTCTCCTTCATATTTTTTCCAATAATTATGTAAATCATTAAAGTTCTTATAATCAAAAGGTTAATTAAATTCCTAATAAAAAATGTTATTTAAAATTCCAAAACCTTAATATTAATTATCCTTCCATTCCCCTTAATATATAAGAAAAAAAAATTAATTTTAAATTTTATAAAGAATCCCATAACCTTATTTAAATCCTTAAAAATCTAAAAAACCTTCAAAAAGTAAACTTTTATTATCCAAAAAATGAATTTTTTTTTAATAATCCTCAAAATTAGTTGAATTATAATTAGATTTTAATGAAATATTTTCAATATTTGAATTTAATTAAATAGAAGCATTTTATTCCTAAATATGCTTATTTTAAAGCTTCTTAATTAATTAACTTTCGAAGTTTTTATTATTTTTTAAAATAATAATATCCTATTATTTAACATAACTATATTATAGGGAATTATTTTTGTGTTTTTAGATTATTTATCTTGATTATTATATTGCTTTTTAATATAAAAAATCAATATTTTAAATATTTGTATTATCATGATAGTATTTTATTAAAATTTTAGAACGTTAAATACATAAATTTGCTTATTCTTATATTTTAAAAAATCTCTTTTATGTATTTAATTCTTCTTTTTTATTTACATTAATATTTTCATTATCTATTTTTTAATTTTTTTAAAGAAATTAATTATCTATTTATATTGAATTTAATTAATGTTAAAAGCTTTAAAATGATTTACTAAAATTTTAATTAAATAAATTCTCTTGTTAATTATGAAATTAGTATGATTCACCTTTCTTTTTATTTTTTTCAATTTATAATTGATTCGATATTATAGTTTCTTTCGTTTTTTTATATTTATCTTAAGAATTTTATTAATTTTTAGGTAAAGGAGCTTTTTTTATTTAATTTTTTTAACTGTTCATCTATTTTTTAAATAAAAGTATATATATATATATAATAATGTATATATAAATATATTTATATATATATTTATTTAATTTTTGTAAATAAAGTTTTCATATATATAAATATTTTAATGAAATATATCCTCTCTTTAAAATAATACAAATATTGTTTTTACAATTTATATAAAATAAAAACAAAAAATATCATAATTTAATAGCAGTTAATATAAAGTTAATTTTTTTATTGCTTTTTTCCATTCTACTACTTAAGAAATTGTAATCATATCCTTAAACATTAACAACATTTAGATTATTTTTATGTAATATATTACTCAAATCTTCTGGATTTATAAATTTATCCCAATTATGTGTTCCTCTAGGAACCAAATTAGTTATATATTCGGCCATAAGAATTAACTTTAAATAAGATTCGCTATTTTTCGACATAGTAGAGATAAACAAAATTCCGTTTTTTTTATATATTTACTCAATAAACGTAGAAAATCTTCTTTATTATTTACATGTTCAATTACTTCCATACAAGTAATAATATCATATTAATTTTCTTTATCTGTTAACTATTCTTTAAAATATTTTTTTTTAAATAAATAAAAAAAGGAATAAAAAATGAAACCCAAAGTTCCTAATTTATATTGTAAATTTCTACTTAAAATAGGGTCTAAAATTTAATGTTATTAAGCTATTTATATTGAATTTTGATTTGCATCTAATCCTGTAACATTTCCTCCAAGTCTACATAAACTCTATATATTTTATATGAAAAAAAATATTCATTAAAAATATTACTTCAGATAATAAACCGCCTCCACAACCTACATCTAGTATATATTTATCTAGTAAAGGTTATATTGGATTATATTTATTTTTTTCTTCAAATTATTATATTTGTTATCTAATATAATCAACTCTGGAAATATTATATTAATATAAAGGAGCCATATTACTTCCGGATTTCCACCAATCATTTATATGGGAAAAATGCTCCATTTCTTTTGGGTCAACTGAAGAAAATTAAAACGCGGTTTTAAATTTTTTAATTAAATAAAAGTCTTTTATATCATTTTTTATATAAAATTAAAGATATTATTTATATTTAAAAAAAAAAAAAAAAAATTATATAATATATTAATTTACAAAGAAAAAATATTTTAAATTAGATTTATTTATATAAACTTTTATTTATAAGATTATATAATTTAAAGTTTTTTTATTATTTGAAGTAATTAATATTTTAAAAAATTGAAGGTAAGATAAATATGGTATAATCATAAAATATATAAATAATTTAAATTAAAATATATTTTTTTTAAATATTTTTTTTTATATTATATTCAGATGATAAAAAATAAATATGTTTTTTTAATTAAAACATAAAATAAAATAATATAAATTATATATATATATAAAAACATATATATATATATATTTTAATAGTTATATATATATATATTTATATATTTTTATATTAAAAGCTCGATAAAAAAAAATGTATATAAAAAAATAAAAAATAATAAATATAAAAATATAAAATTAAAAAAAAAAACTTTAATCATTTTATAATAAAAAAAAAAAAATTAATTTTTTATATTTATATAAATTTCTTTGTTTAATAGCGTTAATAAAATGATAATAAAATATATTAAATTAAGTTTATATAAATATATATATATAATTATATATATATTTAAATATATTTTATTTATTTTATTAAATATATATAATTATTATTTTATATTTATATTATATATATTTATTATTTTTTTATTTTTATTTTTATATATATATATTTTTTTTTTTTTTTTTTATATATATATATATTTTTATTTTTATATTTATTTAATTTCTTTTATATAAATTATTAATAAATGAAGTTTAATAAATAATTTTTAATTAATTCAACAATTAAACATAAATAGCATTTATAAATATTATATATTATAGAATATAATCTTTTTTTAATATATTTTTATTTGAATATAATTCTTGAATATAAATAAGAGATACAATAACCTCTTTATTTTCATACAAAGTATTATTTATATCTATTTTTACACACTAATTTTTATATATTTATACAATTATTTATTATTTAATAATTTTATTAAAATGTCTCCTTTTTTTTATCTTATTTTATAATATCTTCTGTTTTTTATTTAAATTTCCTTACAAAATGCTTTTTATATATTTACTTATATAACTTTTCTTAAGATAATTTAATTGTATTAATTTTTCTATTATTGTTTTCTAACTTTTTAAGTTATATTTTTTATTTGTATAAACTTTTTTTTTATATTTAAGTGTTTTTGAATTTCTTTTAATTATATTTTACATTACTATCCAAATTATAATCTTAAAATAATATAAAAACTTATAAAGATTTATAAATTAATATCAGAAAAAATACATTTATTTTAATTAATTTTAATCAAATCGCTTTATTATAAATTTAAACATTTAACACATTTAAATTATCCTGTTTAATAGATTTCTTTTATTAAACAAATTAATATAATTTTTTTTTAAAAAAAAATTAATAATAATTAATTATATATTTTTTTTTTCTAATAAAAAAATATACATATATAAATATATATTTTATTCAATTAAACAAAAAATCATAAAATTTAAGCTTTTAACTCATCTATCCTTTACTAAAAGATATTTTTAATATTCATAGACTATATCTTATAAGTACTTTCCAATTTTACTTCTTCTTAATACTTTTTAATATTATTCAAGAAGAAATGTTCCAGTTTTTGAAACATTCTCTTACTAACATTTCTAAACTCCGCATTAATTTACTTATGATGTATTTATTTTTACAAATACATATTATATTAGATAATAAAAGTCTTATTATTAACAACATATTAATTCAAAAAATTCGAGCTTAAATTCATTTATTAGGCATAATCATTTATTAGTTTACTTTTTTAAAGTACAAACATAACTGCGAATTATATATCAATATTCGCATATTCTAACTTTTTAGAATTTTCGTCATTTTTTGAATCAAAAATCTTAGATTTTATTATATTAGTCTTTTTATCTACATCATTTATCATCTATTCGATTTCATTGTGGACTTTGTTTGTTTCTACGACTGTTTTGGATTTTATCTCGGTTAATTTTCGGTGACCTTAGTTTTTTCACCTAAAGGATTATTATCTTATTATTCTTAAATATTTTAAGGAATTAATTATGAAGATTAATTAATTTTTTATTTTTTTAATATTTATTAGGCAGTATTTTCTATTAAATTTTAAAATTATTCTAATTTTTCTTAATAATCTATATCTTTTAACATTTTTAAACTAGGTATTTCTTGTTCCGATAATTAACTTTAGTTTATATCATCATCTATTTATTTTTAGCTAGAAAACGAATTTTTTTTTCGCAAATTTCTTATTGTTTTTAAAGTTGTACTTTAGATAATTGGAGATTAAGTGCTTTTCTCTATATTTTAAATACTCATACTTTTTTTATATATTTAAATTTTTTTATTTATTGCTATTTTTTTTTTTTTAAAAATAATTAAATAAATAAGTTAAAAAATCTATATATATTAAATAATATGTAATCAATTTTAAAAAATATTAATTTTTATTATTATTATAAAAAAATAATTATAAAAACTATAAGATTTTTAATATAAATAATAAAATTAAAAATTATATATTCATTAAATTAAATAGAAAAAAAATTAATTTTATACATAAAAATAAAACGCATTAAATTATAAAATAGTTAATAATTTTTATATATTAAAAAAAGATTAAATTTAAATAAAAATAATTCAATAAAAAAAATGTTTATATCTTTTTCATTTATAAGAATAAAATAAAATATTTAAAAGAATTGAATTTAATATAAAAAAACAGAATATATAAATAAAATTAATATAATAATTAATAAATTTTTCATTATAATTTATAGGCTTCTAATAATAATTTATTATCTTATAATCCTAAAAACGTAAATAAACTAAAAATATCTAAATATTTATAAAAAAATAAATAAAATTAATTATAAAATATAAAAATTACTTTATTTTTCTTTTTTAGTTAAAAATTTAACACAAACATTAAATTTGCAAGTTTAACTTAAATTAAAAATTATTTCTTTACAAAATTCTTAATTATCACTATATTATAATAAAAATAAATATAAATATATAAATATATAAATATATATATATATATATATATTTATACATATAGATATATATTATATTTTGAAAAATTACTTTACACCCTATTCTAATAATAAATCCATTATTATCATAAAAATATCTTAAGGAATATCTTTTTTATTATAAATTTTAGCATATATTTAAGTATTTAAACTTTTTATATATTAATAAAATTTTTCTTTATTATTTTTTAATTTATAGCAATCTTTTTCAAACTAAAGAGAACTTTCAGGTTATTTAAAATCATAATTCATATTTGCTTTATAAAAAAATATTATAAAATATTATTTAAAATAAAAATAAATATAATAAATACATTTAAAATGATTATATGATTTTTATTATTTAATTTTTATTAAAAAAAATTAATATATAATAATTTTAGATAATATTAAAATCTATTTTATATATTAATTATATTTATTATTAAATATTCATTATTATTTATATAAAAATATTTAAAAATTTATATTATTTAATAATTATAAATAATTATTAATATGAAACAATATTATTTTTATATTTATAAATATTTATATATTTATATATTTATATATTTATATATATATTATATTTTTTAGTTTTTTTTAATTAATATGTTTTTTTTTTATATGCTTTTATATTTTTTTATAAAAACCTTATTTTATAGCTTCAGCAGTTAATTGAGAAATATTTTTTTAAGTTTCTGTTTCTAAATTTTTTTATTTATTATCGTCTGTTTTTTTCAATTAAATTTAATCTATTTCTTTATTTTATTCTTATTATTTTTATTACATTTCTTAATTTCTTAGTAATAGTTTTACTTCAATACTTTATTTTACAATTTCTTACAATATTTCTTTACATTATTTATTATTATTGTCTATAGAATTCAATTTTTCTAGATCTTTTCTTGCTTTTTCTAGTTTTTCGTATTTTATTTTCATATCTTATTGCTTTTCACTTTAAATTTTATAAGCTTATGCCCTTCTATATAGACTATTTTAAGTTTTAATTATCTATATTTAGTACTTTAGTAGTGCAATTTACTACTTCATCGTCTTTATATGTATTAAGTAGACATAAAGCAGCATTACTAAGTACTTAAATATATAATTTTTAGACATTAGAGTCCTTTTTTTAAAGAAGAAATAAATACTAGCTTTCTAATTAATTAGATATTTTTAAGAAAACTTCCAAAGAATTTTAAATTTCGTTTTTTTAAAAAGCTAGTTTCCTTTTTCTTTCATTTTTTCTAGTGTATCAAGATTTTCCTTTTTTTCAACAAAAATGTAATCATCCTTTTCAGTAACATTTAAATTATTATTATTATTAATGTTATTATTTTATTCATTTTCAGAATCTTCTGATATATTTTCTTTATCATAACTTAAACTAGTTTAAATTCTTCTAAGCCCTTAACTAGCTAATAAATTACTTGGTTCTAATCTTTTTACTCTTATAAAATCTTTGTTTGCTCTTTTAAATTTTTCTAGGATTTCATAAGACATACCTCTTCTTAAATAAGCTTTAGTAAGAATTTAAGGAGATATGTTTTTTTTCATTTCTATAACTTTATTAGTATATTCAATAACTTAAGTATAATTCTATATTTATTTATAACACAAAGACATATTATTAAAATAACTGGCTTTTTTTTACAAAAGTTCTTCTTTTAAAGGAAATTTAGCAATTATTTTTTCCAAATCAAAAACACATTTTTCGAATATTTTCAAAGAAGTCTCAAAATTTCCCTTTTTTATTTCTTCATTTGCTAATTCTTTTTATTTTTCAATATTTTAAACTTCTTAAATATCCTATATAATGAATAATATTAAATATAAAGCAAATTTTTCGATAAATATAAATATATATATATATATATATATATATATATATATATATATATATATTTATATATATATTTACATATTGTTATTTTTATTCTTTTTCTTCTTAGTCTTTTTCTTCTTCTTCATCTTCATCTTCATCTTCTTCCACTATTTATATTCGTCTGAATCCTTCAGTAGTTTAAATATTTTACTTTTTTAGAATTTCTTAGCATTCTTTTAAGTCTCCGTTTACTTCTTGATTATCAGGTTCTTTTTACATAATGAATTTAAAATCTTAATAGGCTTCTAGTATTTTATCTTAAGCGAATTTCGCTTTACCTCTTCTATGATATGCTTTTGTATATTCAGGGTTAATTTATATTGCTTTGTTACAATCAGTTATACATTTTTAATATTCTTTCAATTTTAAATAAACTAGAGCCCTATTAGAATAAGATGCTGATAATTAAGGGTCATATTGAAGACTTTTAGTATAATATTCGATTGCTTCTTTAAAGTCTTTCGATTTTAAAGCCTCATTACCTTTATTTTTTTCGTTTTCGGCTCTTCTTTTTTTCTATTCTTCAGTTAAAGGTTATTCAGGTTCTAAAATTTTGGTTTTTTCGTTTTTAGTTACCTCATCTTCCCATTTATATATGTCTTTTTAGATTTATTATTTTACTTCCTCGTTTACATTATTATTGAATTTTTTAGGTCTATATATAAATAATATTTTTATATTGTCTTTCATATTTTTTACGCTTTAGAAGGATCGATTTTAATAAGTTTTTATATGCAAGCTTCTTTTAAATCTTTATAATAATCACCTATTTATATATTTATATTAGAATTTAAATAAATATGTATTCTTATATATAATTTTTTTTAATATTCATTATGTATATAAATGTGTATTTTTTTAATTAAATATATATTTACCATCTTCTTCAATTAATCTTATAGCTTTTTTCAAAAAACTAGCTTTTTTTTAATTTTCTATCCATTCGTAATCAATTTAGTCCAATGTTAAATCAGATAGTAATTCTGGTGCTGGCTAATTTTTATCTTAGTATAATTCTCCAAACATTTTTTTATTAATTTATTTTTTTAAATTTAATATAAACAAAAATTAATTTAAAAAATAAATATGTATATTATTATATATATATATAAAAATATATATATATATATATATATATATATATATTTTTATAAATTATATATATTAATATTTTTTTTTATAATATCTTATTTAATTTTTTTTTTTTAAAAAAAAAAAACTTTAGTTTTGATTTAAAAAAAATTGACAATTACTTTTGATTTTATTAAATAATACAAATGTAGAATATTTAAAAATTTTCTATTAATTTTAAATATAATAAATATTGTCAAAAGATAATATTATAATTTTTTTTATTTAAGATTAATCAATTAAAAAAAATATTTTATAATAATAAATAAATGATTTTTAATAAAACATAAAAAAAGCATTATTCTGTTAATAATTTACCTAATATATTAATTTATAATATTTTTAATAATAATTATAAAAAGCTTAAGTATAAAAAAATTGCATTATTTTATATTATATACTTTTTTAAATATAATATAATTAATAATAGTATATTTTAAAAATTAATTTCAAAATAAAAATTAAGATATAAATAAAAAAAAAATCAATTAAAAATAAATATAATTTATTAAAATAAAAATAAAAAAATACCTTTATTTGTTTATATTTTTTTTAAAAAAAATAATATATAATAAATAATTTTCCAACAAAAATGTCAGATAAAGTTGAAATTACCCCCATAGTATTATTAAACATAAGCGATCATTACACTCGCCAAAAGCTAAACTAAAAACTAGCCAAAACCCGTACAATAGGTGGTTTATTAGGTACAATAGACAGCGGTAGAATCTAAATTTATTAAACAATAGAGTTTCGTTTCCAATTAGAACCGAATACACTAGAAATATAAGAAATAGACATTGAATATATAAAAAAAAGAATGAATTTATCCAAATAAGATATATAAGGAAATCTTTACAAAGAATACGATTTTTTGGGATGGTATTCGACTTCCGAAAATTTATAAATTATGAAAAACGATAATAAATTTTAAAATTTAATTTGTAAAGAAATTAACGAAAATTCAATATATTTATTAATAGATACAATATCTTCATTAAAAAACGGCATTGAATTACCTATTAAAGTTTTCGAATAAAAAAAAGATTCGAAAGAAAATTTTCATTTCTAAGAGTTATAACATGATATATTAACTTCAAAAACTGACAATATTAGTATAGAAACGGCTTCTAAAAGTTACTCTTCATCTTCCAAATCACAATTTGCAGATAATTTAAACACTTCATTAAATGCAGTGAAAAGATATTCAGAAAAAATAGAAAGAATAATTAAGTTTTTGGATACCTAATAAGTTTAATAGAATCCAAGTCTACTTTTAGAGCTTAATTAAATTTTAAGTGCATTCCCATAATAGTTCCATGAAAGTTATGATTAAAAGATTATAGAAGAACTATCAGAAGCTAATATTATTTCGTTCTTAAGTGCGATTTCAGCTACAAATAGAGTTGTTTCAAATGTTTCAGATTATAAATAAGGATTTAGAAATAATAAAATTAATTATTATTGAATATTTTATAAAAAATGATTTATATAAAATATATAAATAATAAATATATATATATAAATATAAAATAAATAAAAAAATAATAAATATATATATATATATATAATAATTTATATATATATATATATATGAATTTTTATATATATATTAATATATATATATTTTATAATATTTTTATATTATTTTATAAAACAAAACTGAATCTATAACTAATAAACATAAATATCTATAATTTTAAAATATATAATTTAATATTTTTTTATTTTTTTATATTTTTTTAGTAAATATATTATCTTTAATTAATTAATTTTTAACATATATATTTTAAATAGTTAAATACTTTATTAATTTAATTTTTTTATAAATTTAAAATAATCAAATTAAATAACATATTTAAATATTTTTTTACTTAAATATTTTATATATAATATTAATATTTTTTATAATTAAATATAATATTTATATTTAATTTTATAAATTTAATTTATTATGATTTAAATTTTCAAAAATGTTAACCCAAAATAAATAATATATATTTATTTAATTTTTCTAATATAATCATATTTTTTTTTTTTCAGCATTCTTGTTTTTTTTTTTTTTTTTTATTTTATTTATAATTATATTCTTTATAATTATATATATTCTTAAATAGAAACTTATTAAATAATTTTAATTAAATGTCATAGACTTTTATATAATTTAATTTTTATATTTGTAATACTAAATTTCCTATTTTTATAACAAAATAATTAAGTTAATAAATTTTAAACTAGGTAGTTTCTTTTATTTTTTACTTATGCCTATAAAAGCATTATTGACAATATATAGAATAATATAATATTTACACTCTAATAAAAGGATATTTATACATATTATTAAACAAATAAAGATAACTTCTCTAGGATATAAATATTTTTAGATTTAATACATATTTATATATATGTATTTAAAAATTTTCATATATATATATATTTTGTTCTCTAAAACATTTTTTTTTAAAATAATATATTAATTATAACTTTTTGTTAAATATACTATAAAAACAAAATTTGAAAATTTAAAAATATGTGTTTATATAAATTAAATTTTTATATATCCGAATTTTATTATTTAAATATACTTATTAGGCAGATATTATTTTTTCAATTATTTGCAAATAATTAAAATATCTCAAATAAATATAAAAAAATAAAACAAACACAAACAAAAAAGCATGTAATAATAAAAAAAATAATATATTTTAAATAAAATGAAGGAAATATATAGAAGATAGACCAGACTATAGAAAGTAAATATAAAAAAGTCATTTTTTTTTAATAATAAAAAAAAAAAAAAAAAAATA